GAATGAATTGCATGGTACTACAGTATTATCAATAGAAGGTATAACTTATGAATTGTTCTAAAATTTGTTTAAAAAAATAGTATTAGCTATAAAAAAATAGAGAGAAGGTAAAGAAGAAGCATATTGTATGGATTACTAATATAATCAATTATCGATGGATCAATATACTTTGCAAGTACTTGAAATATTGATAATAAAAACTAAAGAAAAAAATGATATAGAAAATCAAGTTATTTTAAAGGATACTAACTATAGTGGAAAGTATATTAATATAGAAGCAAGCGAACAATTATGGATTGAATAAATGAATTTATTTAAATTTAATAAAAGGAAAATTTTTAAATTTAAAGTTAAAAAATATTTTTGAAAAGAAATATACTAGTTAAAAAATTTTTTATTAAATAAATCCAGGTTAATTTAAATATATTTAATTTAATTTAGTTAAATCAAAGCAGTTATGGTTGAATATACTTTGAAATAGATTCAAAATGTATCAAATCAGTTTCAAATTGATTTTGCATTAAATTAAATCAAATCAGATTTGAATTTGAATTGGATCAAATCAAATCAAATTTAAATTTGAATTGGATCGAATCAAATCAGATTTAGATTTGAATAGGATCAAATCAAACTGTTATGGTTTCAAATCAGATCAAATTAGTTTAAAACAAATCAAATCCATATTTGATTCATATTTATAAAAACTGGATTGAATCAAATCTAGTAAAATCCAATCCAATTTGATTCATTATGATTACTAGTGTCAGGTAACTCTAAACTCTTCTAAAAGATTTACACCTTATAGTCTTTTTTCTCTAGTTGTGTTTACTGAAAAATAAGAAGGTAGAAAAGAGTTATTATTTGTTGTCCAATATATCCTAGTTCAAATTTTTTTATTTTTTCTGTGTAATTAATGATATCATAGATTTTATGTTTTGTATCTACCTATATAATTGGCTTGTAACTTATGATAGATCCCAGGTTCTTATGAATACTGAGTAAATGTATTCAGACATATGAGATAATCAATAGAAGCTTGTTTATATCTTGAGTTACTGATATATTTTCACTATTCAATCACTGTACAAGAAACTTTGTGCTACTCAAAATTCAGAGTCAAACTAAAATAGGTAAAATCCTACAGAGAAAGCTGTGAAAGAGCACTCTTAGAGCCTATATCATTATAAAAGAGTAATGGGTTATCTTTTAAAGAATCTTTTATTATCTATAAGGCTTTGTAGTATTTTTTGGCAAATAAAAAGAATATAAAAAGATTAGTTTTACTTTCTTTCAAAACTTTCTTGCTGTTGATAAGAAGGATAAATATTATCTTTCTAGTCACTAGAAGACAAGTTTTTTGTAGCAAGATATAAAAGAAGATAATGGAGATTATAAAGTGATTCTTAAGAATCATATTCTCAAGTTGATTTAAAAAAATGTAAAACTTTATTAGCTTTGAAGTATAAAACTTTTTGGGAATATCTTTTTTGTGTATGATTAAAGAATTGGTGAAAAGAATTAATTATTAAGAATAAGTTATTTAAAATTAATATATTATTTGATTTATAAATTTTTTTTTTGTGTTTAAACCATAACTGATATTAAATATAAAACTTTGTTTGGAATGTCATTACATCAATTATCTTGTACAAATTATATATTTCTATATATAGCAAATTAATAATATTCTATTATGAATAACCTAGTTAGACTTACTACTATACTTAGAGTGAATATATTTAGTTAATGGCCAGATAATTAAAATACATTTATAAATGGTAATACTAGACTAGTTAGTATGGAACTCATTTTACTTTATTAATTTACTAAATTAGTTCTTTCTTATATACTATATACTTGATGGAATATGAATACCCTTTAATATTTCCAAATATTATTTACTTAAAACTTGGAAGGAGACACATTATCTTCTTTGTTATTATTTATAATATTGTATTAGTTTTTATTAACTAATTTTCAATTAAGCAAAGTATCAGATTGGGATATTTTAAGCTAAAAGAATGGGAGTCCTGAAGACTGCCAGGATAGAATAATTTTGGAATATTTATAGGAGATTAGATCAAAAGCCTTTTTTTATGCTCCTGATTGATGGAAGGTCAAAAGTCCTATCTTAACATAGCCTAACCTATTTTTAGAATAGTTCTGAATAATTGGGTACAATTTTTATAGAATAACTGATAAACCTGATCAGAAAAATAATTTTGATTTTTGGTTCTTAAGTGGTATTGAACTATAGACCTTGTGATTGTGACCTGAAAGCACTATCACTATGCTATTGACTCATAGATTTTTATTTAATTTATAGTTATCTTTGAAAGTTTTAATTTATTACTATATTTTTATTATAAATTTTAACTTTATTAATTTTTAAATCTTTAATTATATAATCAAAAATTATAAAATTTATTTATATTATATCTTAATATTAACTTTATTTTTATAATCATAAGATTTAATTACTTTTTTTTTTTTTTTTTTTTTTAAACGCTAGCTTATTTCCGCATTGGTTCGTATACTTTATTAAAATCAAGATATGTCCTAGGAACAACCGGGATGACTAATCATCCTTACTGCCTAAGGATTTACAGATCAAAGAATAGTACAAAGGGCATCTATTTACGTCTCACCCAATCAGGATGGGATGACTATTGACCGTCTAGTGTAGAACTTTCTTTAAACTCTAACTAAACTATAGGAAATGCGAATTAATCTTCATTGAAGTAATCCAACCTTATACCTATTTCTAGAACCAACACATCCTAGGGTTTTGCCCACCGGATAACCTGTTGCTATCTCTGCTAGGGGAAACTAACGTACCAAGAACTTGCCTAAGATATCCAACATCACCGATGTTAGGAGTCCCTTATACGAGAAGACCTCGTTAGTACTTGAAAAAGAAAAAGAAAAAAGAAAAATTTGCCCTATCTTGTATCTCGACCTGTCTTGTTGTTTGAAAGAGAGTTCGGTCTTGTATGAAGGATGTCGTATCACTTGCTTCTTGCCTGTTCATATCCTGTTTGTGCTTGATCTGTCTTTATCAGCAAGTGTAAGTGAGCTAGTTCTTCTTTATGTCCTGGTTGAACAATCGGTCTGTGGGAGAGTATACTCTTTCTTGTATCCAATGATGTAGCAATTTGTGTCCTGTATCCATTCGCACCAACATATATGACTTACAGTGGACCCCAGGTTCTTATGGAGCTGAGAAAATGCATTCAGACATGTGAGGTGATCAATAGGAGCTTGTTTATTAATCTTGTCCAACGTGTTTCATGTCGACCAATCAGAATCCATGGAATTCATGCTACCCAAAATTTCAGGGTCAAGCTGAGATAAGCAAAATTCCCCAAAAAGCCATGAAAAGTAGTAGCTCTAAGAGGGCACACAACCATTCAAAAAGTGAAAAATAAGCCCTTTGAATGGAAAAAACCCTCTCTCAGGTACTTGTTTTGTTTCCTCCATTTCAACTGATAGATGGCAGATACTTTGCTGTTGATCCTTCTTCCTTAAGGAACTTTCTTGCCGTTGATAGTCAAGATGGGTACGGAACTTTGCAGGTCACTAGAGTCCAGTGTTGTTCGAGGAAGATTGTAGACAATATGAGGGAAGTGGTGGAGTCCTGAAGAAAATCCCTTTAGGTTGGTTTAAAGAAAGTGTTAAGACTTTGTTAGCCTAGAAGTATGGAAACTTCTTGCAAACATCTTTTTTGTGTGTGAACAGAGGATCAGCGGAAAGAGTTGTTGATTATATAATGTAATAAGATTTAATTACTATTTTCACTAATTTTCTAATTATATCTAAAAAAGATATTTGCAAAAAGTTAAAGATTTCTTGATTAATAAAGTTTTAATACTTTGTTTAAAGTCACCTTTAGAAGTCATCTTTATCATTCTTCTTTTGTTTATAATTTTCTTTTAGTAAAAACTAAACTTCTTATAATCTATAAAAGTCAAGTAACACCTTTTGTACTAAAGGCAAGAAAGTTTAGAAAGAAAGAAGAATTAATATGCAATTGTCTTACATTATAGAAAAATATTATAGAGTGTTTTTAATAAAAAGAGATAACATATCTATTTTCTTATTATTTATTGTACTTTAATAGTATTCTTTCTGAATTTTTTTTTGAAGAATTTTATCTACCTTAGTCTGATTCTGAATTTAAAGTAGTACAAAGTTTTTTACATCATAATTGAATAGAAATTTTAACATTAGTAAAAGATATAAACAAGCTCTTATTAATCACATTACATTTACTTTATTTAAGAAGTAGATCAGATGTACAAGTTAAAAATTCTTCTTTTGTTATATCAAGTGAATCAATAAAATATGACTTTGCTATAAAAAAAAAAAAAAAAAAATACTTTATTTTTTATATTTTTTAAAAATTTTTTTACTTATAATTTTTAAAGTTTTATTATTATTAACAAAAAATTTTTTTGAATAATTTTTGACTGATCATTACTGCAAATCAAATAACAATTAATAAAAAAATAAAAATTTTTAACAATAATAAAACTTTAATTAAAGCATAATATGTAAATTTAATAATTTTTAATTGTATATTTAAAGATTTAAAAATTGTTAAAGTTGAAATTTATAATAAAAATATAATATAGTAAGTGAACTAAAACTTTAAATAAAATAGGAAATCTAATCTCTTCTTTAAATAAGTCAAACAATTTAGTGAGATTTTTTATTCTAATGTGTCAACCTTGAAAAAAGTTTATATACCTTTGATTTTTGAATTGTCTGTCAATATTCGAATGATTATAAGCTTATAATATACAGCATACCAAGTAACACGGGTCGTTTTTAAAAAAATGACCAAATCATACAACCAGCACCCCGGAGAATTAACTGGAAATTTCATTAATTCATTATTTCAATTAATAATGCGGCAATAGTGTGATAACAATGATTTATTTAATAAGTTAAATTATACTAATAAATGACAACGCATAGATACGAGTGTTTACACAATGTCATTTGTTCAATGAAACTTTCTGAACCGCGTCAATTACTTGAGAATGTATTTTAGGATGGGCTACGATAACTCCTTTGTTATTGTCTAATTTTCTACCCAACGAAAAATCTAGTGGCTTAGAATAAATATCCGAAACAATGCCACCTGCCTCTTGAATAAGCAGACTTCCAGACGCATGATCCTGTGGCAATTTTAAATAAGTTAGCCGATCAATTTACAACCAAATTAAATGTTAATTCGATTGCTTATTAGTATTAAAATAATTACCCAAATATTTTCCAGATAATCACCCCGGGTCAAGCGCAGATATATATCCGCATCACCTCTAGCAACTGAACAATATTTGCATTGACTATCCATACGAATGGCCGGTTTGGTAACTCCTAACAACGCTGCAATCTTTGCCGAATCCTCGTGCGACGAATGCGAAGCCACTACTGATTCGCAAAATGATGCATCGGACGGGGATGAGATATCAGTCATGCGTATTTGTGTCTCCTCAGCTGAAGTGAATTTTCGCTACAAACAGGAAGATCCCACAATTAACGTAATACGTGTGCGCAAATAATAATACAATAAAAAAAAAAAAATTTTTTTTTACCTGAAATGAGCCTTGTCCCTTTACAGCAACGAATAAACATCCCTTTTCACCTTCTGGCGTTTTATGATCCACGGGAAAATTGGGGCATCCCATAACCCCAAGTTGAACATGACCATCAATGATAAGAGCCAAGCATACAGCAAATTGATCACCGCGAATAAATCCCTCGGTACCGTCAATAGGATCGAGTGTCCACATTCCTTTTTAATTTGTATAGTCATAATTCCAAGAATTGTTAATACATTGACCTATTGATGGTATTAGAAAGGTCGACTAATATCAAATACGATTACTGACTTCCTTGAGTGCCCCCAGGATGTGACCCTCGATCAATGGCCTCCAATAACTTCGATGCAAATAAAACAGAATTAAATAAATGAATAAGAAATACTGTAACATCAAATTTAACGTTTACTACTAACCTTTTCATCATCCAGAGGCGTATCCAATACAGTGTTGGCTAGAGACAAAACTTTCTCTCTTAGCTGTTTTCCATCTTCTCCGCGCAATATTTTAGAATCTTCTTCTCCAATGATGACATCATCCGGAAAAGAATTATGCAAAATTTCATTCACAACCGCTTGGGCGCCAAGGTCAGCAACTTATTAGATAAAACAAGTGCCGCATATTAGTCTCATTATTTCCAATGTTCATTCACCTTATTTAAATGTAAAAAAATGACTTGTAAAATAAAATAATACCTGTTACCGGCGTTCTGTCACTTTTCGTAATGGTTTCGCCGTCAATGAGGTGTCGAAAAACTTGTTGACAAAGTTGACTTGCTTTTAGAACCGCATTTATCGCCACTGCACGTTCAGCTGCGAGAACTACGTAAACAAAACCATTATTCTGAGTTCACAAACACTCTCCAAAAAGAAATTAAATAAACACAACGCACATGACATTTTTTGAGTATTCGAGTAACGAGAAAAAAAAAATTTTTTTTTTTTTTTCTACTTATATCATTCCGTATTTGGAAGATCGGCATATAAAAACGTTTTTTGCATTTGAATTCCAAAAATTCCGCGACGATAAATCAGTTATCCGTTTTGAAGTATGGCTGGCTCATTATTGCGAAACCTTGTCAATAACCCCACTTTTAAATTATTGGAAAAAGTCGGTAAGAGAAGGGCATTACCTCACATTGGCATTTCTGCACAGAGAAGGTTTTTAGCCTCCGCTAATGAGAACACGGTGAGTTCGAATTCCTTTAATTTGTCGTCCCCATTTCATATATTGTTTATTCCGGGGAAGTTTTGGATTCTAACGACAGCGCGTTCGTAAGCGACTGAAGTATAATTGAGTGATGTTTGATTAAAGGTGTATCCACATCTTAAAGGAGCGCGTGGAATTCAACTAAGACTGATTATTGCTCTACTCATTTTGATGTAAGATGACCGTCAGAGATGCTTTGAATTTGGCACTCGAAGAAGAATTTATCCGTGATGATCGCGTTTTCCTAATTGGTGAAGAAGTTGCACAGTATAATGGTGCATACAAGGTACATGTGTTCGAGAAGTCGGATATTTTGACCAAATTTTTTGCTTGTTCTAAATGGCTCGAATAAAATTTTCCTTCTATCGTTGTTTCACCAGGTTTCCAAAGGTCTCCTAGATAAATTCGGTCCGAAACGTGTGATTGATACTCCCATAACAGAAGCGGGTTTTGCCGGTTTGGCTGTTGGCGCAGCATTATCTGGTCTGAGACCAATTTGCGAATTCATGACATTCAATTTCTCAATGCAAGTATGTCGATATGAATATTTATTTCTCTCCTGAGAGTTCACTATAGTTGATTTTCCTCTAATTGTTTTTCGTACTCAAGAATCTTGTCATACTTTAAAGGCTATCGATCATTTGGTCAATTCGGCTGCCAAAGTTTGTTATATGTCCGGTGGCACCGTAGAATGTCCAATAGTTTTTAGGGGTCCTAACGGATACGCAATAGGCGTAGCTGCTCAGCATTCTCAAGATTACGCTGCGTGGTATGGTGCTATTCCAGGTTTAAAGGTTGTTTCTCCATGGGACAGCGAAGATGCTAAAGGACTATTAAAGGTTTGATACAAATCCTTTCTTCGAAAAAGTGTACACGCATGAAATTATGAACACTTCTTATCATCGTTCCGATAAGGCTGCTATTAGAGATCCTAATCCGGTTGTCGTATTAGAGAACGAACTTCAATATGGTGTACCATTTTCCGTTTCGGAGGAATTCATGTCACCTGATTTTCTATTGCCAATCGGTAAAGCAAAAGTTATAAGGGAAGGAAAGGATGTAACGGTTGTCTCATATTCAAGAACAATAAATTTTTGTATTGAAGCTGCCGAAAAATTACAGGCAGAAGAGGGAATTTCAGTTGAGATAATTAATCTAAGGTCTATCAGACCATTAGACGTTGACACGATTGTTAATTCGGTCAAGAAAACAAATCATTTAGTATCTGCGGAATCCGGATTTCCGCACTTTGGCGTTGGTAGCGAGATTTGTGCTTTGGCAATGGAAACTGAAATATTTGACAACTTAGATGCTCCAGTAGAAAGGGTGACGAGTGCTGGTATTTGTTTTCTCCATTGCATGTGTATACATTATTTTTTTATTTTTTCAAATTAATTGGTTCGTCTTTCTTTTACGTTTATAGATGTTCCCATACCATATGCGGAAAACTTGGAATCTTTAACCTTTCCAAACTCTGAAGTTATAGCAAAGGCCATTAAGCGTAGTCTATACAGCAAAGGTAGTTAAGTTAGATCCGACACAATGTGTTGGAAAATCAATTAGCTCAAAGATTTGTCTAATATGTTGCAAATATAATTAATTTCAAGAATGAATTAAACATCTATTTAACCCTATGAGCAAATCAGATGACTTTCTATTTATAGATTTCTTAATCGATAATACGTGATTGACTTGGTTTTGTATATACTGTAGTTTATTGATCAAGTTAAAGATTATTTTGCAACTTATTATTTTAAAATTAAATTCATACAATTAAAGCTAATATTAAAAAGTATTTAGATTTACTAATAATCTTTGAAAATCGTATTTACTATATTTTTTAAATTTTTTTTTTTTGAGTATCCGCAGTCAGGCTAGATTGTAGTTTATTAATCAATTGAAAACATAAGTATATTTTCATTCATTTGAGTAGCATGATATATATTACAGCTAAACATCAATATCAAATCTAACTAATTCATTGTAAGCAATAATGATCTCTAAGTTTGACCTTGAAGACAATATTTCACTCCATGGTAATTTTTAGATAAATACTCTCTTAGTTCATCACTTCATTGCCAGCAGGTTGTTACTTGTGGGTTTTATTTATTTCTAAATAATGTTATATATATGATAATTTATACATAGTAAATGTATTACATACTATATATACTAACTAGCCCATTAAGGAAAATTATATAACACTTTCTTAATTTTTCTTAAAACAATTTTATAGAATAATTTAATTATTAGACTATTGTGTTTGCTATAATCTATTTTCAGATTTGAGATTTCAATATGGTACATGTATTCTTTCTCTTATCAAAATCTCTTAATGATAAGTCAAGATAATTGATCATACTTTTAAATATTTCACTGATATACTGTAAGTTTACTTTCTTCAGAACTTCAAATCTTTTTAATTTATAGCCTCCATTTTATTAGGATGCTGATAAGAATCTGATTGTCTTACAATACTTATAAACTAGTGTGATCTGGTAAAGATTGATTATAAATAATATTGTATAGTAACAGATTCTTCTATTTTGATTATTGATAAAATAATCAGATCTATATTCAATAATATTTATTATTATTCAATAAAGTATTGAGTTCATTGTAATACAGTATTTTTCACTTGGCTCTTATATAGTATTAAACTCTAGATCTTATTATTGTAATCTAGAAATACTACTATTATACTATAAACTCACAAGTTTTATATTTTTTAAAAAAAAATTTTTCAAATACTTTTTATCAAGTTAGTTATATGTACTTTATTAAATATTTATAAACTATATATATAAAATAAAATACTAAATTTCAATTTTTAATATCATTGATTACAAATTATCATTATAGATATCCTATATTTTTTATTAAATTAATAATTTTTAAAATTATAATTAATTCATAATTTATAAATTTAAATTTAATCCAAAAATTTTATTTATAATTTTATCAATTTTTTTCTTTATTATTGAATTTTTGTTAATTAATTTTAATAAATAGTTATCAAAAAAAATGTTATTTTTCTTCTGTCAAGCTAGTTATATATGTTTTATTAAATATTTTATAGATTTTATATATAAATATGGTATTAAAGCCAAATTTCTAATTCACTTATCTTGATCATTATTACTTTAAGTATAACTTTGGAAGGGATTTATTACTTAACTAACAGTTTAGATAAATACCTTTCAACTATTAGTATTATTGCCTATAGGTTATTACTATAGATCACTTTATAAAGCTCTGACAAAGATTAAAACCCAATTAATTTATTTCATATTTAATTTCTTTTGTTAAGACCAGCTTTATATTCTTGTTATTCAATCTTTCTTTTTCAAAAATTAATAGTTTTTTAATCTTGATCTTGATTTTTGGAACTTTTAGACCTGATCTTCTTATTTTATTTTTCTATTGGTTCTCTATACTATTTTTATTTAATTACTCTTTTACATCTTTTATTTCAAATCTTTTATAATTTATCTACAAGCTTTTTGTTCTATTCTTTTATTACAACATTTAAGGTCAGCTATTGCAATAAATCAGTTCCTCCTTATAAGTCTCATATAAAAGCTTAATGTCCCATAATTATTTTTGAAGACTTTTTCTATAAGTTTGAAGATTAGTATTCCTAATTTTCTTATTTCCTCTCTTTTTTTTTATAACTAACTATATATCTTTTTCTTTTATTTCCTCTTTTCTCTCTTGAAAAGTTTCTTAAATTCCTTCAATACCTTTTATAATCCTTTTGCTCATATTTCTTGCAATTGTTTTTTATATGTTGAGTATTTTAATAAGTAATTCATTATTTCTGTATATTTATTGCACTCTATATACTGTATATCCCTTGTTTATAAAGATTTAATCTTCTTATTGTTAGTTGTGTCAAAGTCAATAACTTATTATTTGACAATTTCATGAAAAAGCTTTTTTTGTAAAAGTATTTGAAGGAAGTATTCTATATATGCCTATCTTTTATTCTATTTCACATAAGGTTTCATGTATATTTATGTTAATTTTGTATTTATTGACTTCATTTTTCCTGGGTTCTATTCTATTGTATTCATTAATAGGTTGTTATCTTACAATTTAATTTTTTTTGATGAATTGCCTTATTGAAATATCTAGTATTATACTTTATATTTAATTTTTGCAAAGCTTTTGGATAATATAAGATCCTTTCATTGTATTATAAAAAGTTGAAGGGATTTTTTGATCATAATATCTGCTTTTTCATTATATCTATTATTAAAAAGAATATTAATTTTGATCAGTTCTAGATTCAAATATTTTTTATCTATAAGATCTAGCATTTGCATCTATAGAGACTAGTTTTTTTTTTCAACTATTTTTTATATATCTTTTTGAAATCTTTTTTCTTTAATTCCTTCTATTTGGAAATATAAACTTGACTATTTATATAGATCTTGACCCTACTTTCAATAGAAACAACTAGCAATATAATATCTATTGTTATTACTTCTATTTTTATTAATAATAGCCAGTTTTTTACTCCTGCCTAAAATTTGCTTTCTCTTTCTATTTTATCTATTTGAATCCATAAATTTTTTATTTCTATTTTTTTACTTTTATTATCAACCAGTAATCTATCAAAATAGAATATTATTACTTTATTTGATTTTTGATTTCACTAAAGTATTTCCATTAAATAGAACTAATATGCATCTTCTTTTATATTGTCTCTAATAATATGTTCCTTCTAGCTTTTTATTTTATATTTACTACTTTAATAACTTGAATTTATCCTTAATCTTCCTTTATTACTTTATGTATTTCTTTTTTATAATTGTCTTATTTCTTGAAATCTTTAGTATTTAGGCTCTTCAAATGAATTTCTAATACTGAAATATGAGACTATATGTATTCTGTTCCTTTTTTCTATTATTATACAATAGTTATTTTTCTTAATATCTTTTAGGTATCTGAAAAATTTTATTAAACTTATTATTTGTTAGTATTTTTTAGCTACTAAACAGTTGAAGTATTCTATTTGGTTTTTTTTAAGTAACTTGATTCTCTTTATTTTTTATAACAATTTATAACTTTTATTATTTATCATGATTATGTTTCACTATAAAATATTTTGGTTTCCATTTTATTCAATTTATCTTTTAAGAATTAGTAAGCTGTTTTATCTCTTCTTATATAGTCTAGGCTATTGATACAGTAAATATTATTTTGGAACCTATTCCTTATTTATATTTTATATAAGCTATAATATTATTCAGTTTCATATTTCTTTAGTATCTATTTTTTTTTTTTTTTTTTTGCCCTCTGTCAGGTTAGTTATGTGTGCTTTATTAAACATTTGTAAACTGTACATATAATATGAGACGCTAAAGCTAATTCTTTAACTAACTTACTCGTCTAGGTTATTTTACCCTTCTAAGTG